TGGAACGACTAATTTTGATAAATTCCTTCTTAGTGGAGCGTCGTTATTGATTTTTCGCCCTTTTAGCTATGTTTAATGCACGCATGGACTATTTGGAAGTGGCTTAGACGGACTGTTTTTATACGCTTGTTTGTTGCTTGCCTTCCCCCATAAGCCGTATGCCTATAAATGGGAAATCGTAATATGCAAAAGTGACGCTTCCAATTAACTCGTTTCGAAAATGAATTCTGTAGCTGGGAGTAATTAGTTTTATTGACAATCGAGTTTTATTGCATTTTCCATTGGGGAATCCATCACTTCGCCTTTTCATTTATGTTGTAAAACTTCCATTTTATGCAGTCAGGTGGTGAATGCCTGGTGTGATTCGAGGAGAGGCCAGCAGGAGATTAAACGGGTCGCGCCATTCTCTCCCCGTTGTTATTAGTGTATTCATCAACACCAAATCCAGCCAGGGTTAATGGGAAATGTTTGACCGTCGACCGTCGGGTATGCGGGGCTTGTTGCCATCATTGTCATAGTTTGAATGATACACAGCATTTCATGTCAATTTTAATTAAATTAAAAATGTAAAAATTCCTTGATCCGTATTTCTGTTGATTGCGACAGGATAGGAAAATAGACACGATGCCACAAACAAAAGTGTTTGTTTAGAATTGCATTCGATGGGCCAGTGTCACATTCGCATGTTCGTTGATTGCACTCTCTTTGCGAACAAGGGGCACGCGAACAAAAAGTGACCATAGGAGATTTTGGGTGGCCGTGTTTTAGCTATATCCCCAGTAAGGACGATAATGTTGTAATGGGACGACTTATGAAACATTGATCTACTAAATGTTTAGCTCAAAAAGTGATGAAATTACTATTTGGGCCTTCATTTGAGAAAAAGGCGTTAACTTCGTCTGTGTCAATTATGACGCGAACCCTCAAAATAACTAAAATCGGTTGGAAACTTATGTGCGACTTATGTCAAAGCAGATGTGCTTATTCTCTGAGAAACAGAAATACCAAATTGCAGATATTCTGTTTGGAAAATGTAGCTTGGATCTTCAGAACATTGACCTATATAGACAATTGTTCACACTTTCTGACATTCATTAATCTATTGGACATAGCTGTAGCAGCGAAGAATATAAGTGGCGATTAAGTAATAAGGCTACAATTAACTAAAATTCGAATACGAGTGACGCAGCTCTGTCAGAAACCTAATGCCACCCGAAAGTGGGGGCCGTGGTAGTCAATGTTTTCATAATTGTGGTACATATTTCGTTTGAATATAACGTGGACATTATGCGATTCTGTAACTATTTTACGGCAGAAATTACCGACGATAACCAATAACATCAACTTTTCGTTTTAATTAAAATTTCGCAAATTCAGTTATTACCGAAAGTATTCGGTAAGTTAACGTCTGAATTGAATTGAAAGTTAATTATTTGTCCATATACGTTAGTTCAGCCATGAGAAGTGTATAAACACACTCACAGGGGAAATAAAGAAATAACTTCAAATTGTATTATACAAGTTAGTTAGAACAATCTCCTATTGTAATTTCAAAAGCTGCGAATCGTAACACATAAGATATTCCGCATTCGAATTTGCTAGCGACGACATTACGCAAATAAAGATAATTTTGTGTGTATGGGTGTGTTTAATTGTTGTAGAAATTGTTAGTAATTATTCTAACATACTGCATGTTCGTGGATACACATGTATCGATTGTAGTTGGGAGGACAAACAGTAGTTGGGAGGACAAAAGTATTAGTTTTCTGTATTTTGTATTTCTAAGCTGTATAATTCCAAAAAATCCAAAAATATGACCAATAACACATACTTCGTTTCATGTTATTTTTGTTTAATATTTGTTGCCATTTCAACAGGTAAAAGATCTCGGCTATGTTGCGAGGGTATTATAAATATCTTTGGCCCAAGAGTTTGCAACGTGCAGAAATGTAGGTCATAGGCCCACGGATCATATCTCGAATTGCTGAGTCGATATAGATATACGTATCCGTCCGCCTGTCCATTAAAATTTTTAATCAAATAAACGGCTGTGGATAGCTGTAAACCAATCGTAACGAAATTTTGCGTATCCGGTTCTGGCCAAAGAAGAGGTCACAATATTTTACATGGAGGACACGCTAAAGAATGAGAACTTGAGCGGGTCAAATGGAAAAAAATTACCAGATTATAATTCCAGTGATAGTTGCGTAGGGTATCATATGGATGGTTCCGTCCGACTATACTGCTCCGCTCACGGGTTAAAAATTGGAAAATCAAATTCATCGTAATGCATACGGAAAATCAAGGTGACAATGATTACATTTTACCAGTAAAATTTTTTCAATACTCAGTACACAACTGCCAAAATTTCTCTCTGAACTTACTCTCATTTACTCATCTTTTAAGTTATCAAACAACATTCAGTAATAATTTGTACAAATTGTTACAAATTATTGGGATATCAAACAAACCTAATGTGAAATTGAAAAAAAAAGATTGATAATAACAATTTTGAATAAAATCCTGGAACAAATTAAAAATGCTAAGAATGTTCTAGGTGCTACTTTTTAGCACTAAAAGTGCTAAATTGGCACTGCATACGGCACATTTCGGAATCGATCTACATTAGTTATTTTTCAAGGTCTAAACCCTTTGAGGAATTTCCTGAAGGAAAGAATCGATAGCCTGCGGATGTGATCTAGATTCGGATATTCAATAAGCTTCGAATTAGATTTACATATGTTGAAAACTATTGATTCTTTATGGGGGAGTGACCACAAGAAGTTGATCTATAAAGCTCATTTTCAGATTCAAATAAAGTTTGACAAAGTTATTACGATGTACCAAATATAAAGTTTGGATCAAAAACGGATAATCCTTTCGCAGAATATTATAAATTTATTTTTCAGCTAAATTTTGACCATAGGAGGAGGTACTGTATTGGAGGTACTAGAAGGAGTCTTCTGATATTCCCCATCTTCGAATTAAAAAAAACTAATTTTAGTGGTTTCGCATTTTATCGATTACATTTACAACTTGTTTATTAAAAAAAGTTTTCTCTTTCTTTTCAAAATTGTCGGCATTTTGCGCTAGCATGCCCAATCGACTATTGAACATGAAGCATGTGTGTTGTTCGAAAATGTGGTCTGTCCCCCATCACTACCGTGCAACATTACAATCAAATTAATTAACAATTACATTAACACTAGAATTCGATCGACACAAACGTGGCGTTAAGTTGTCATCTGATGGCAAAGGAGCCATCTATTCATTCAATCAATTAGCCATACTTCGATGCATGGCGGGAAATGGTATGAGGAATATACAACCTATCATAGAATTGAAAACACTACAAATAAGTATTTTACAAATATATGTACACCTTCGTTTACGTTGTAGTGATGTAAACAAATTAAAAAATACATCAGCAGTTTCTTAGCCAGATTTGAAATTAATATTATATTATATAATAATATTATATATTTAAAAAAATAATAATAATAATAAACAAAAAATACATAATATTTACGCTAACAAATTAATTGACACAATACATGCATGAATGTTTGAAATTAATATTATATTATATAATAATATTATATATTTAAAAAAAAAACTCCATTTGAAGGCAGGGGGGCTGATAATGAAGAAAAGGTAATGATGGAAACAAATTCAGAATTCAAATATTCGACACAAAACCATTAGTCATATTATTCCCAGCATAGTCATTAAGTCGTAAAAGAACAAATATGAATGAATAGATGCAAAGGTGAAAGCACAGCTGAACCTAGCTGCCTTCCTTTCACATAGCCAGATGAGGAAAACCGCCCAGCGGTCGTTGTAAAAATAAGGAAAGCGTAACAAAACAGGGTTAAGTGTAAAACCATGCAAAACAAAAACCAAAGATGACTATGTCAAGAGAGAGGGAGTGGAGTGGAGTGCGTAGAAAATACTTGCCCGACAATGAAACATTAAAATCAAGGTACACATTTACGAGGCTATAATCGTGAATAAATTATTTATATTCCAATGTTTATTTGAAGATGAGGCTCTTCGCCCACCATCATCTTCTGAAAAACAAACATGACTCCTTCGTACTTTTGATATTTTTATTAACTTCTCATTTTGCAGATGAATATTCAAGTGTCTTGCTCGGTACTCATCACATTCCTTTCGATGGAAATCTGTTTAATTTATTTTTATTATTTATTTTGTGAAGCCTTCTTGGCACCCTAAGCGATTACTTTCTATTTTCCTCTTCCAAAATGCCAGGACAAGGAAGACGTTGATTTAATTTCATTATTTTTCGTTTGCAATTTCAGGTAAAACGTGGCTAAAGTGCCAACATTTAAATGCCCCTTCCAACGATGACAGGCAAGCATGCTTAGATTAGAAGAAGTTTGAAGAGCTCAGCACAACGGCACAATTTTCAGTGCATTGCATAACATTCTGAATGGGCATTTAGCGAGTCCTTACCGCCACAGTGCACACGATGTTAGAGCAAATCAAAAAGGTTAATTACGAAATTGCCACGACGATTACAGCAGTCAACAGCCGGAACATGGTCTTACAATATTAAACAACACACTTTCAAAATAGTTGCAAAGGTCGTTAAATAATGACGTTGCTGCGGGGATGATGTCGAATGAATTCAAACCCATTTCTACCACTCCAACCAGCGAAAGGTCACGCACGAACAATATGGCCTACAAACTTTGGTAGAGTTTACGCAAAAACTGACCTAAGCAAATAACATGGCGGAACTTTTTAAATACGAAACGAGTAAGGAAATTTATGTAATCTATAACAATAGCAATAGCCACCCGCAGCTGGATTCTGAATACAAATCGTTGCTTGACAATCTGGCCAGTTTCAATAGCAATAGCAGTTATTTTGACTTTGATTACGATTCTTACTACAGAGCGACTGAATCTGATGCGAGTATTGCGACGACCCTTGTCCCCAATGCCATCGAAGCACCGGGGGGACAGCGGACATCCATTCCGCCAGATGATATGCTCATCGACGGCCATTTCAATAATTATTGGGCATTATTGGCTCTGATATTGGTGATAGGCACAGCTGCTGGCAACATTCTCGTTTGCTTGGCAATAGCCTGGGAACGTCGTTTGCAAAATGTCACCAACTATTTTTTGATGTCGCTGGCCATAACGGATCTAATGGTGGCCGTACTGGTGATGCCCTTAGGAATATTGACTTTAGTAAAAGGTAAGCAACGTCCTGTTAGGAATGTACGGACCAATTCACTTAATATATAAATCAATTTTACTCCTCCTAAGACTGAAAAGTTAAGTTTGATCTGCAAAAATTCATTTTAAGCAAAACAAGAGAAAGAAGTCAAATGTTCATTTGCTTTCAAGTCAGTATTTCGTAAGATATGATATTAAATTATATATATATATACAGATATATATGTATATGCATACTTTCCGTTCAATTCAATAAATGTTTCCATCATAAAGCGGAATTCAGTTTAATTTGAAAAATGTACTATAAGAAGTAATGCCTAGATCTTTAGATAAATACATTTCTATTCGAGATCGAAGGAAACAAGCCATAAACATGAATGGCCAAATAATAAGTAGATTTTGGAAATCAATTAATATTAGTATATGGAATTGTTTTAGCATAGATTGTAGTTTGGGATGTTTATATTGTTATTTGAGAAGCGATATTTATTCAGTTAAATGACATGCACGTTAAATGAAGTTTCATCTATGTGAAATAAGGCCTCCCCTCTCCTTTTTGATTTATTCCGGCCTTGCAAATGAGCGATATGGGAATGTGTGTTTTGGGCCATAGTTCTGCTGACAAATCCATTTAAGAAGCTACATTTATTGGGTTACTTCTGTTGTTACTTCTGAGGATATTCCTATAATCAGTTTCTCGGTCAATATAAATATGTCTGTCCGGTCAATATAAATATGTCTATATTTTTGTAAACAAAATGGAGATCGCATATATCATGGCACAATGATAAAGGTAGAATTACTTGACGAAATTAATAAAAGTGGAATGTCTTGTAATGTCAAAGTTAAACATTACTACTTATTACTTCTATTAAAATATATCGCGAAAAATGAATATAATGTCAATTGAATTGAAATTTGACGAATTTTTATTTGAAATTTGACGAAAAATATTTTTATGCTTTGTTTTTTTATGTTTTTTGGAGTAGTTCTAATTCAATTAAATTTTTTAATGTACGTATGTATGTTTAATTTTTTTATATTTGTGATACAAATTATTTAGATAAAAACACAACTCATTTTTATATATATATATATATATATATATAATAATTTTCCATTCCATTCCTACTGGAGTAGTCATAATCCAATTAATCAAATTTTTTAATCATAATCTATAAAAATCAAAAACTTTTTTTTGTCATTTAATCGGTATAATATTCTTTAGTAGTTCAATATCCCTCCCTTTTACATTTAAGCCGCTTAATACGATAAAATTTATATTTAATTGTGAAATGTACCTTACAGCCTTAAGGTCGAAAGACTGGGCACTATGAAATATATAAATAAATAAAATAAATAAATAAAATAGATTACTGTAGATTTGCCATGTTGTGTCATAGAAATGTGAAGGTATCATAACCTGAATATGTTGCAAGTGGGAATTTCGGATTTCTGGTTACATCGATAACCAGATGTTTGTTATCGAAGTACAACTCTCCTCCAAAATATCAATTTGATTTTTGCTTGTAGATGCTCTTATACAAATTAATCACTAGTCGCCAAATATTTACGTGTATTTTATTCGGTAATGGTCAGATAATGGCGACTAACTCAATTTGTTAAATTGTCTCTCTCTAGTTCGGTACACATAATCAGAATGGGATTGTATTTGCAGTGCAAAGTGAAATGGGTAGCAAAAGGCTGCGCTGTGCCTTATTTAGCTGTGTCTGGTGTTTTTTTTTCCACCCACAGACGATTCCACTGAATTATGGTTAAGTGTTACACAAAAACGAGGCACTACCAGCACTGTCAATGTGAAGAAGCCAGTCCGTGCGAAGGACAATGCTCTGGAAATGTAGATGGGTGTGTTTCTTGTGTGAACCAACATCAGAAATACGAATATTTTTCATACGTCACTTTAATTTCGTAAAGAGTCCTTCAAAAGCCGTCAATTGTTAGCATTTTGCCTCTTTTGTGCGAATTGGATTGAAAACGGGCTACCTTTTTATGTTGCTTCCATTCACAGTTTCATAAATCATTCAGCCGCTTTTTGTGTGCGACTTTGTGCCACAATATATTCCCTTCGCATGCCCTCTCTACGTCTGGGCATTTTGTTCGTATTTGTTGTTTGTTTGTAAGGCAAGCTGACGACGAAACCCTTTTGTTGCAACACGAGATTTGGAGGCTGTTCCTCTTTCCTAGTTACCGATACAAGCATTGAGATCAACGAGGTTTGTTGGCTTCGGTGAAACATCTTAGGCATTCATCTTGGCTAAGTCATCAATTATCTGTGTTTTTGTAAGATTTTTTTTATAATCCCCCAAAAGCAAACCCAGCTCTCCTCAGCATTGTCTGCTTAATGTGTGACGTCTAAGGAGTTTTCATTTGACACCGCAGCCTGTATCTGTGATTCGAATACCCGCTTTTCATTAAGTGTGTCATTTGTATTGGTGACGCTAACCACCAACATAAAGAATATTGTGCCCGTTGTTGAAGTAAATAAAAACGTCAATTTTATTTTGACAGTTCTTCGTCTGGTAATTGATGACGATATCTAACAATGCAAACTTTCCATATAGACCCTTGAATTCTCCTTATTACTAAAATGGGTTTAATGATTGTTGCCGGATCAACCGGGAAATCTGGTGAAACTGGACTTCAAAAAAGTTATACGTCACTTTGAACAGTTATACGTTACTAAACTAAATCACAAAAACAACAGCTGCCCTACAATAGAGCTGATCCCATTTCCTACATCACGATAGTAGAAAAAGCCAAGTCGCCAAATTGACGAAGTTTATATTTATGGCTAGAAATACAATTTATTTGAAAAACCATTAATGTTGTACAAAAAAAGCCAATGAATACACACCACGAATAAATAAATTTCAGCTAACAAAACTTAAGTGCTTGCTGCCAAACAGACTCTAATTTTCGAGAAACAATTTGATTGTCTTCTTACTTTGGATATATTAAACATAAAACATTGTATTATTCCAACCATATGTATTATTCTGACAAATTATTATTCCAACAAATAAGAATTACTATTTTTATCCAGTTATTCTTTTAGTTTATTTTGTTTGATTCTGATTTAGTTTTTACTGATTAATTTCTACTGGAAACCGGTCACGAGAACGGCAATGGATTATTTAGTAGCCATACGAGATAAAATCAGGCCTTAAATAATGTAGGTGTCACCTAAAATTATCCAATGTGTACCCTAACCTTTAATTAAGAAATGCTTTACGGTTTCTATGTCTTCGATACATGTCAATAGAAGTAATTCTTTCCAACTATTTCTTTCTTGCTTTATATCCAAGTTTGAAATTAATCACGCGCCTGAAAATTAAAAATTTTCTCTCTTTCTCCTGGTAATAGTATGAACTTATAGCTAAATACTTTACATTGATGTTTTTAATTTTTACAAACATTTTTGTTGTTTTAAATATATTTTTATTTATATTTTGTGTCACATATCAAAAAAATGTTATTATATATTTTATTTTTATCCATGTTTTATACACTAATTTTGTTTATCCTAATTTTGTTTATCCTTGTTTTATACACTAATTAGAATCGAATATAAAATGAATGCATGTTAAATAAGGTAGATAACAAAATGTACTACCCTTGTACCCTTGCATCTAACATTGTGAATGATATTAATTTGCTCACGCTGCCAAAATTATTATTATTTTATTTATTTTTTTGATATTGTTAGGAATGTACTATAGGTAATTTGACCTCTTTCTGAGCGGCGGAGTGAACAGGTTTATTAACTTATTAAATGATTTATATATCAGTGAGAGAAAACACAAATTTCCACAGTGGATAGAACGAACCATTTTTTATATTACACGTTTGCATTTCTAAGCAATGCTGGAAATTTCACGGGCAAATCTGTAACATGACAAATATTTTTTGACAGAATCTCATTATCTTTTCTTCTCATAATCTTTGCATGGACAACCGACTTGGAAGTTACGAGTAACACTATGTGTTTTGTAGTCAAAATTCGAGTTTAGAATGTTCTTGGTTTTTTTCATGAAAATGTTCTATCTTTCTATGACATTTGATCTATTTTGATGACAAATGCATGTAGACAACAATGTGTATGTTTCTTTGATTTATTTCTTTTCTCAAACCAAATATATATGCAAATTTATTAAGATCTTTCTATCTGTTGCAAAGACAAAGACAAAACACAAGACTCGACAAAATACATTTTGACAAAATAGTTTATGAAATCATATCTAGCGAACATTTGTGAATTGTTTTTTGCCTAATCAACTGCCCAAATTATGGGGCGAATTTCGTTGTTATTTATCAATGCTGTTAACTGTTGACAAGTCCGTTATAGTCAGCTAATTGGGTAGAAACAAAGTATTTAGCCAAAAGCCTAGTTAAATGTGTTAGCATGTTACACGTTAACTTGTATAAAGATTTGGAAAAGTGAAAATATTTTATAAACCCAGTTGTGTTCAGGTATATTTATTTTTTCAATGATATTTATTATTAGAAATAACATGTTTGATCCATCTGAGAATTAGATAACACTGCTATTCCGTAGAATGTGTATCTTTGGTCTCCCTATTGCTTTTTTAGAATTATCTGGACTAGTGGATTTCAAAATAACTAAGGCTTGAAGTCCTTTAGAAAGCCCTCTTATTATATGTGTTCAAAACCTCTTGGCATATACATATATGTATTGTGTTGCAACATTAAAACATACCTTCGATTCATTATATGGAGATGGAGATTTTCTCTTTAATTGTTCTTAGATATGTGAAGTTACGCCTAGAAGTACAAAGAAAGACAACATTTGTAATGTTTTCTACTTGTTCTTATCATAAAAACTAATTTGGCGCAGAAATAAAAGCTGCAAAACCAAAAATGTCGCTTGAGTGACCCAGCAAAATCCTTCTCAAAAAGGCCATATTCTGAAAGTTTGAACAAGGCTTGGCATTTTTGTACGGCACTGTTTTTTACAGTATGTCCAATAATATCTTAAGT